GCCTTTGGAATTCTAGGGTACCTGTTATCGACGCCAATTCAAAGTATAGACTGTGCGTTCGGAAGGTCAACTATTTTACTTCTCAGTCAAGATACAAGAGTCTACCTGAAAGAGACCAAAATCCAGCTAGTTACGGCGTCAGGCAACAATGGGTGCTCTGGAGCGGCCTCGTCAATTTCACAGGGGTTCGGAAAAGGGGGGGGGATGGCCGAATGGACCCCGACAGGAAATATGTACATGTATAGATTATAGATATGTGTATATATATATATATATTACAAGGGTCCTCCTTGAGGACTATATGGAGACTGGTTCCGTGTAAGCTGGAAAAGTAGGGTTTCTGGCACCGACACGAAAGCTGTGAGCCTTCTTAATTCCAGTAGCAAAACATTATGAGTACGTTTCTTAGCGAACTATAATGACAGTCGCATCTTGCTATTGCTTCTCTGCGTCAACCCTTTCGCAGTTATACATCAGTCCAAATCTCTGATAGCTTGAATCCCAAAGAACAATGATCCTAAACCCTAAAGGCCCCAAAGCTTCAAAGGTCATGAGTTCTGTTTCAGGCTTCTTCTGCTAAGGGCGATTCCCTAGATAACCCATTATAGTGATTTCCATGTTCTTTTCCATTCCTGATTCCCAGCGTACTAGAGGCCAGTTTATGGTACCTGAACTTGTTACTTCCTAGTTTGCCTTCGACAACGTCTTCGGCAAAAGTCGAGGCATCCCCATACAACTTGCTTTCCAGCATGCTTTGTGTTGTCCTTTGGCCAGCCCTCCAAAAGCGACCACCCGAAGGAAGCAAACAGTAAAACCGAAATCCTGCCTCGCGGCAGGTGTCCGTGTTGGAACAATTCCAACTCTTGGCGGTGGCCTCAGTGGCAAGCCCAATCAGTCAGTACGTGCACAGGATAAGGGCTTGACACGGAGTCTCTGTACTTTGAAAGAATGTGTAAGTTATGCCAAGGAGCCACACCCCCACCATCATGTTCAAACTCTTTGAAACTTCGGCTGCGGCCCGAGTTAGGAATTCAGGATTCTATTCCAGACTATGTCAAGGCCTAAATTATGCATCAGCGAAGAGGACCCCATGTCCACTCTTAGACTCCCTCGGCAACCATACTGCGTTGCAGTGTTGACAGTGGCTCATGTAAAGCTGATCCTTTCCATTTGGAACTGCTTCAGGATCCAAAACAGCAACACCGTGCTCACTAGATGTACGTCGACTCTTCAAACAACACCATGATACTCTTAGGCAATTATATCTGGGAAAAATATTATGGGCAGATCTTCCAGATTTCACATGCCTTGCACACCACCCGTGTTACAAGCAACATCCGCACATGTGTGCCACAAAACTGTCGTGCATAGTGGTTATCAGGGAGCGGGCATTCGCAAGCAGAGTCACGTTCTGTTATCCGAGCTTGTTGATGAGCATAGGACAAGTTGGTCGGACTTAGTAAAGCCATAGTTGGAGAAAGCAAGCGCATAAACCAAACACCTGTACATTCAACAAGCCCCAATGCAACAACAAAACTTGGTACTGGTACTTAGTACGGAACAAGGAAATATGATCTCTATGTAGTCCCTATAATACATTCCCTTCCTCCCTGTATGATTACTTTATAGACCCTACCTAACCCTATGGCCCTAAGTGATATCCCTGCATTCCCTAATTCCCTACTAACCTTAAACCGTACACCCATTGCCTGCAGCCAACCGCCGTCAGCTCGCTTCGTGACTTGCGAGCAGTTGCCCTGCCAGTCACCGTGCTGCCAGGCAAGCCATATAAGAATTATATAAGGATAAGGGAAAGGAAACGAAAACTACAATAGGATTGCGTATATACTGGGATGACAATAAGGGACAAGGGAATATGTTATACTGGGTTGCAGTTACTATATACCCATATTATGACAACTTGATTTGGCGGGATTGTTTGAGACTGTTTCGGTTCCTGAGGAAAGGCTAAAACTTTATGATCGTGAGTCAGAACACTATACCAAGATTGCCTGCTGTTGCCAGAAAACCTAAAGCAGTGGTTGTGGCTGGCAGGTAATGGAAACAACCCTTGTGGCTAAAAGATTCTGCAGCTTCCTGTTTGCAATGCAGTGCCACTGCAGAGCACCCTCGCCCCCAGAAACATCGAATGCAATCACCCGACGTCATCAAACATGTGCGCGGTGCAAACTCACACATCCAGTCATGGACGTTCCTACAGGGGCACGTTGAAGCCCACGCATAGGCCTGGATGCACGCAATTTCAAAGAACTGGACTAGAATCTACACTCCTTCCAGCCTATCATGTGACCGCCCATGAGTATGTGCATGGCCATAGACTTACTTCCAGGGAAAAATTGCGTCAAAACTGTGAGATTTTTGCAGTGAAGCTGAACTCAACCTGTCAATGTCTTCCAAGTACTGAGACTTGGAGAATGGCGTCATGAGCCCACAGGACAGCTGAGGCCCAAGACTTAAGCTTGTACATGACATGACAGCTTCTCAAGAACAGACAGCTGCGCCTTCAATGAGATCAAATACATTCCCAAATGTGGGCCACATTCAATCCCTTATAATCCTCATGTATAAACCTCATACATGGATCCCAAGACATTTTAACAGATCACACAACCTTAAAACCCTCGATAGCGAAACGCTGGATTGTTCCATGCTGGAGTCTAAGCCCCTACACCGCCTCCTAAACACATGACGTGCCTGATTCCAGGAGTAATACGCGCAGCTGGATCGAACTCGGCAAAGCTTTCGGCACGCGGCCTGCGCCCATCTCTTTGCGCTGGGTAGCATCACTGAATGATGTCCCCGTAGAATTCCCCAAGGTCCCCGCTTAGTTAACCTTAACTGGCCCTGATTATCCTTCAATAGCCTACGATGGGGGGTTAAAATCCACCAGCAAAGGGGTCAAGCCTCAGCACAAAAGACCATATATCAACCAGATTACATCAACTAAAATGTCTCAATTACATGATAACCTCAGGTGCTCAGCCTAGAAACACCAGGACCTCTAGACCCTCAAATTGTGTTACTTTGGTATAAAGGGCTCAGATTCATCTGCTCAGCAAAAAAACCTGACCCCAACCCGAAAACCTACAGAACCCCCTGCCCCTTCATAGCTGCCAAAAATTTCTTTGTGGAACCATCTGTGGGTTCTGAAAGTTGAGGAGCCACGAGGACCCCCAGGGGTCGCATCGGCATTCTGCGGAGGTTGTAGGGGTCTCCCTGGGAAAGTCTTTCCGTATGACTTTAAAGAAACAACACAAAATCTGTGGCAAAAATCCTGCATGCAATCCTTGGTAGAAACCCTGGTAAATCCCCGGCATGTCCTGTGCTTTGAGGTAATTCATCCCTGAATTGCCCTCTAACATCCTGTCAACTTTCTGGGAAACGCCTGCGAGCCCCTTTTCATTTGAATCTCCTTAACTTAAACCGCCAGGCCCAGCCCAAACCAAGCTGTGAAGGCATGGACCCAAAACCGTCTCCTAAACCCTGAACACAGAGCCCACAACCCTAAACCCTTGAAATCTACACCCAACGCCCCAAACCCAAAGCTTCCCAAGCCCCCTCAACCCAAACCCTAAACCCTAAACCCAGCCCCAAACGCCTTAGACCTAGGGCCGAGGCCTCAAACCCAGCCAAGACCTGAGCCCAAAACTCCTCAAAGGGGTTCTATCAGGGTTTTATAGGCTTTGGGGTTGGGGGGTTATATGAGGGATGACATAGGCTTTAGGAGTTCAGGTTTAGTGTTTAGTGGGGTTACATGGGGGATTATAGAGGGCATATATAGAGGTTATACAAGGGATTATAGAGGGGACTACTATACGGCAACCCCAAACCCTAAACCCCTGAACCCTAAATTTCAGGGGGCCCAAGCCGTCAACGTCAACCACTCCAACCCTTACGCCCCGAAGCTGCAGAGCCCGAACCTTAAAAATTCCCCAAAGCTCAAGCCTCCAATCAAAATTAGAGGTTCCGTTTTGATCAAGATTAGAGGTACCTTTCTGATTTTTGAGGTGTACCTATATTCAAGCTTAAAGAAATTAGTATATCCGAACTCATATTCCCTGTTTAGGAGAAGCCCCCCTAAACCCTAAACCCTGAACCCTAAACCCAAACCCCTAAACCCTAAACCCTAAACCCAAACCCAAACCCTAAACCCTAAACCCCTACCTCGTCCGCTGGGGCAAGTCCAGCCATGGGCTCCAGGGGTGATGCAACGCCAAGCACTGTGTCCTGGCTCCCCAGGGTTTAAGGGTTTAGGGTTCAGGGTTTAGGGTTTAGGGGTTTAGGGTTTAGGGTCTAGGGTTTAGGGGTTTAGGGTTCAGGGTTTAGGGTTTAGGGTTTAGGGCGTGGAGGCCCGTGTGTGGGTGATGTAGGCAATGTGAGCTACGGTACAATCTAAACTCCTAGCATCCCCGTTAATAAGCCCTATAGTAGTCACCTGTATAATCCCTTACGTAACCCCCTTTAAGGAGTCTAGACTATAGCTCATGCAGGGTGAGAGGCGTGCTTCTTTCGTTTTTTCTTTTTGCGGCTCCTTTTTCCACCTGCAGAGTCAGTCAGAAGGTGTTTACACACAGGAGGTGGATTTCATTCACACAAACCTGTTCTTTGAGAGTTGCTTCATGCTTCAGACTCAGGAAGTTTGAGTTTGGGCGTAGGCTTTTGGTTGGAAGGTTTGTTTGGTGTTTCAAAGCTGGTGGGTATGTAGCGTGTAGAGCACGAGGTTTGTGGATTTAGGCTTACTGGGGGGACTTTGAGTGTTCAAGAGCCCCAGCTTGTTGCATTTCAGGCCTTCATGGTCCTAGATTGTGGCAGGACTTGCGGGCTTCGGGGCGGAGGGATCCGGGTTTGAAGGTGTAGAGGCTTGACGAGTTGAATGCAGAGTAGGACATTCCAAAAGAGCACCGACAATGCTTGTGGTGCAAAGTTCCAGAATTCCTTGCAAACTTAGTGCACATGGCTTCACATCTCATTATCTCAGCGTCCTGCGCCCAGCAGGTCGTGTCCCGGATTGTCATGGACAAACCTGCCTCAGTTGCGGTCTAGGGTTTGGGTCTTGAAGTGCTCTCTGCGGCTTGTTCACCTGAAAACCTGAATTCAAGCCCCTATGACAAAAAGTGAGCCTTGCATGTCTTCATGGACTGGAAAGGAAACCAACAGAAATTAAACTAAAGTTTAGAATCTAGCAGGGCCGCGGGCTTGCTGTAGCCGCAGATGGAATGAGGGCTTGGGGCTCAGGGTTTACTGCAAGCTGCTCTGTACATATCGATGAAGTGGGCAGGGCATCGTGCTTCATATTGCCGTTACATGTACACAAAGGTCGTGTGTCGCCAGTCTGTTTATCAGCAGGAGTCCGAAACCCTAAATTCGCTGGAGCCCAGGAAGGCATGAGGGAACCAATTCAAAGACTTGCATGAAGAGTAGGATGTGGAAAGTAGGATAAAGGACTGCGACCGCTCCACGGTTTGTCTGCATGCTCTAGCCTGGATGCCCCCACCACAGAGAATAAACTCCAAGGTGCACGACCCGAGCTTAAACCCTAAACCCCGACCCAAATAAATTCCCATCTGAGCTATAGTCTAAACTCCTGAAAGGGGCTTATATAAAGGATTATATAGGGGGTAGTGTAGGGGCTATTCAGAAGGCACTAGGAATTTAGACAATGGCTCATGTAACCCTATGTACTCTACATAGCCCCTACACCCCTAGTATCCCCCTTAACAACCCTATAGTAGTAGTCCCCTATATAACCCCCTATATAACCCCCTATATAACCCCCTCTAAGGAGTTTAGACTATAGCTGATGTAACCCTATGTGCTCTACATCACCCCTACACCCCGTCTTAGGCCAAGCTGCTGAAATGGTTGGCAGGTTGGGATCAGCAAAGACGCCAAAGACCTTGCCTTGGGGGTAGGATGCGGGTTTGGGATTAGGTTTTTCAAGTGTCATAGGTTTTTCAGGGTTATAAGGATTAGGGTCAAGGCTAGGACAAGGCACTCAAGATGGGAGCGTGTTTGTGCGATGAAAGGATGACTTCTGACAACAGACGAGCCTTGACCCAAAGCATGGCCAAAGACTATATGATTCAAAATGAAAAGACTTAAAACCTTGCTGCCTCGCAAACTCTTTTCAGCGCGGGACCTTCTCCCAAGTCTGCTTGCTGGAGGCCTGTGCTGACGCTTGATTAAACCCCAAGCCGGGATGCTGTCATTGACGGAAAGGGTGAAACGCACATCAGGTGGTTGTTGCTGTCTTCTGGTTCCCATCGCATGTGTGCGGCTTACGCTTTTTGAAAGCCCTCTCCGGGACTAACACCACAGGACTAAGACCCGTTCGGCACGGTGTGTGTGCCTGTCTTTGCCACACGGGCATTCAGTAACTACCCTAAACCCGCCCACCTAAAACCCAAAAACCTAAGCTAGTATTGGGCAGATGCATTGGCAGCCACAGATCAAAAACTTCAAATCTCGAGTACTTAGGGAAACCTAAATGCTCACCTGCGACCAGCCTGCACCCTAAGGCCTCTATACGTTGCACCTTGCGGTCCGGGTGTAATGCAGTGGAGACTAAAAATCCTGCATGACCCTTAGTACCTTAAACCTTGGGAATAATGGTACTATAGTTTATAAAGGTCCTGCATGATTTTTGGTATCAACAGTATGAACCAGTTATGAACCCGTTATGATCCCTTCCCTGTAGTAAACTGATCCGACTCGTCGGGGCAAGTCGCATGAAAAGGAGATCTTCCATGCTTCGGTGGTGGAACTCCCCAGCATGGCCTTCACTGGTAAGACTGCTTCAAGGGGTCAAGGGTTTGCAATTTACTGTTTAGTGTTTAGGGCTTCGCGCTTAGAGAAATGGACTCTGTGGTTGTGAGGCCCCTTGTTGATTTGTCCGCAAAAGCTAGAGTCTGAACATGTTTGGATGCATTATGTGGGCTTCCAAAAGACGATTAGACTTCAGTTTAGGTGCCTCCAGCTTTCTTACACCCTCTTTATTAGCGCCGCAATCCTAAGCCTGAAAACCTGAAACCTAAACCCCAAACCCAAAATCCTAAAACCCTGAAGCCCATAACCAAACTGAAGACCTAAAATATCCTAAACCCTGAACCCAGCTGCCCAACCACACTGCCCGAACCCCAGACTTCCAGGTGAGCCACATCAAAAATGCTCTCGAAGGACTGTGGCACATCCAGCACGATCTGACCATTGCTGGCGACCTGGATGATAGGATGTCCCTCGAACAGACCTTGGCCATGCAGCTCTTGATTTGATGCTTAGGGTTGGTGGCTGAATCCGCTAGCAAATGCTGAGTGAAAAGCGGTGTGCAGCTCGCATGGCCGAATTTCTGAAGCCCCAGAACATCTGGTAACATGTTGCTCTTTCTCACCTGGCAAACCATAAGGTATTCACCGAGGTGCCGATGCCCAACAGGGAGTCAAAAACAAAGCGTGGGTCATCGCAAGCCATCTCGAACTGGCTTGGCATCAAAATCTCCTCGCTTCCTGGACAGGGTGGCTGCATCTTATTGCGATTTGGGGTGTCGTCTACCGCGCGCCATCATTCGCTCATAGCCATGGTAATCCTGGAAACATCAGTACCCTGAAAAAATCCCAAAGAATCACAATTCAAGCCCTCCCTCCATTTCAACTGCCTACTGATGAAGTTGTATCAGCCGTCAAGGCGTCCTTGCTTGAGCTCCACTGCAGGTATCTTCTCACCAACAGCGGTTGACATGGATGTTGCTGAATACCTCAGAGAATCCAAAAAGGCTACAGCTACAACCAACAGTACACGAAACATCCCTATATAACCCCAATATATACCCCATATAACCACCATAGTAGTTTCCATGTTCTTTTCCATTCTCACTATTATAAAAGTGAAAGGAAGCAAAGAGCTTGAGGCCTCCAACTACACGCTTCTAGCTTAAAGATGAGGGTTGAGGTTGGTTGTTCCAAGAATTTTGCTAGGTTCCGGCACGAAGCTTGCATGTCTTGACATCATGGGGCTTCAGAATTCTGGCAGCTACATCTGGAAGATTTAGCTTACTGGTTCCTAGGCGGGCATTTGGGATGATAGCATGTAGGGAGTATATAGCGGTTGTATTCCCAAATTCCCAACTAGAATGCCAATACATACCCTATCATGATACAATAGTCTCTATTTTCTTGTCCATTATCCCTATATCACCCTAAACCCCCAAACCTGAAACCCTATATGAGACCCCTATATGGTAGTTTCCCAAAATTCGGGAGCCCCAATGTAGACCCCAAAATATTACAATCCTTATTATTGGGACCCCCCGGAAAGTACGCTTAATTTTGGGAAACCCTAAACCCCATAATCCCCCATATATTCCCAGTTTCCATTTTATTTTCCATTCTCTTTTCCATTTGATTCTCCATTATATACCCTAAACTCTAAACCCTAAATAGTAGTTTCCATTTTATTTTCCATTATCCCAGTATAACCCCTATATAATCCCTATATATATATATATATGGGAATATCCCTATATAATATCCTATATACCCCGAGATCATTCCTATATAGCCCCTAGATCCCCCTTTAAAGGTACCCCTAATTTTGGGAAACTACCCATTTGTCACCAATCCTAACCTAGGGGTCCAAGTACCCAATAATCATATACTTACTCAAAACCTATACTATAACTACTATTTCCATTTGATTCTCCATTATTGGGGCAATATCCCTATATCCCCCCAAAACCTAAGCCCTAAACCCTAAGCCCTAAACCCTAAGCCCTAAACCCTGAGCCCTAAACCCTAAGCCCTAAACCCTAAACCCTAAACCCTAAACCATATCATTGCCTACGAACAGCCAGTATAACCAGCCAGACCACAGCTGATGTTGCTGCTTCCAAGGAACTGGAGGCCTGTCAGCGGCTGTGGCTTCACCTGAATACCACAGGGTTTAGGGTTTAGGGCTATAGTCTAACCTCCTAGTTTCCCCCTGAATAACCCTTATAGTCGTCCCCTGAATGATCCCCTATATAACCCCCTTTAAGGAGTTTAGATCCCTAAACCCTAAACCCTAAATCCAAAACCCTAAACCCTAAATCCAAAACCCTAAATCCTAATCCCTAAATCCTAAACCCTAAACCCTGTATAATGCCCTTTAAGAAGTTTGGATTCTGGCTTCACCTCAGTGCTGTTGAGGCTACCTTGGTACTCCCAAATAGTCGCAGTTCTACGATGCCGTGTTACTAAAAGAGGTACCCCCTATTTCGGGAAACTGCTCAATAGCGAGGTGGAAAGCTACAAGCAGAGTGAACTGGGTCACCACCACCATCTTCGTGATCTTCTTGTGGGATGGAACGGCAGGGTCTGCAGTCCAATTCCCTGAAAGCTCCTTGGCTCGATTATGGTTTCGAGGAGCGATGACAGCCGTGTCATGTCTCATGAAAACAGGCTCCATAACGGCGAATGGGTTGAAGCGATTATTCTTGGAGTGCGACAAGGGACTACTACAGCAATCCATTACCCAATTCGCTACTGAGCAGCAGGTAGACCTCATCACATCACAGCAAAGACTAAGGTTGACAAAGCTGAAACTCTTGAACTTCAAAATCTTCAAAAATCTTTGGGAAGTACTCCGTTTAAAAGCGAAAAACAAGCGCTGAGAGGCATAGAACATGCAAGCCATGGTAAGAAGAGCCACAAGACCACCCGGCTATGGTAACAAGACGCACACTGCCAAGACCACATGAGGTTCTCTAGGGAAGCCCACATCATCCCTGCATCCCTGGAAAACCGGCCACATCCAAGATGCCAAAACCCAGCCTGCATGTACTCCAAGCTCAAAAACCCAAACTCTTGATCCTAAACCCAGATCCCGAAGCTCACACGGTAATATACTGATCTACCGTAACATATTATCATGTAGTGTGTGTATGTATATACTCTAATGTACCATAAAAATTAGTATTATATAGAGTATACTCTAATATACCGTAAAAAGTTATTATAATATACAGTACACAGCCTCCAAAAACCAAGAGTCACACACCCCGCCCATCTGCCCCTCGTACATGTCTTCGACGTTGTCCACAGCTCCAGCGGCCGCCTCAAATCGAACTCAGGGAATTGTGATTCTCATATTCCTGCAGGGGCGTCATGAGGAATAAGGGAATAGAATCCCTATATAATCCCTACAGGAAATATTCCCTTATTCCCTACTAAGCCCCCAATAAGTATTTGGAGTAGGCCTTTGGCAAACCTGTTGGATTAAAATGCCATCCTCTATCCTCCGCAGAGTCTTGGATCAAGGTTCATCATATGGGAAATACTTCAGGTGGACCCCCCGACCCTGTAATAGTGACTATTAGAGATAATAAGGAAGATAGTACGCTCCTCTTACATGCCCATTATGCAACTATTACAGGGTAGGGGTTCCTCC